GTTGTAATGTGACAAAATATGGAAAAGTTCAAGGGGTATGAATACTTTTGCAAACCACTGTATTTTTAATCTGAAAAGAGCTTCACTGAGTGAGAAGTAGTGGAGCTCAGCAGACAGTTTCAGTTTCACTTTCAGTTTCACCCGAGAGCCTGCAGGGGTCATGGGTGGTGTGTGTGGGGAGGGGCGCTCCGCCATGAGGAAGTTCAGCTTAAAGACACGTCCCAGGGGGCGTTTCTGGTACTAAAAGATGTTTCTGGTCCCCACCTGTCGTTTTGCTCCTCAGCATGGCTGCCTAAAAACGATGCAGGATTTCTCAAACATGCATGAATGGGTCAAAGCAAGGCATTGGGCATGTTTTTTATGAGCGTATAACATTATAACATGATATAAAACTCAAAAAAGTTGATTTTACATAATTTTGCCCCTTTAAATTTAATTTGGAAGCCTTATCAACAYGGACAGGCTTCATTCACTTCCTCCACCGCCATTGCTAAACTAACTAGTAACTAGCAGACACTGCGCAGAAAATCCACGTCGTTCAAAACTCTGCCTTCTGTTCTCTGATTGGCCCGGATGAAAATTCTGCTGAAGAAATCCTTGTCTGTAGGAGAAATCCCAGACGGAGCAGTGAAGGTAAACTAGAATTGAGTGGAAATGCGTAGGAAGGCAAGAGCCAGGCTACATACAAYGATTTTAGTCTAAAATTCTACCAATATGATACTTGACCTTTAATTTACAGTTATGCGTTTCCCCTCATGTTCCTGTTCACGTTCATTTCAAAAAGCAGGAAAATGTTTGCCAGCTTTGAAAGGACTCACTTGGGTGATTTGAGGTCTCTGTGGATGATCTTGTGTAGGTGCAGGTAGTTCATGCCTCCAGCGATGCCCATGGCCCAGTCCATGAGCAGGGACGGCGTGATCTTTCTGCCTGCTCGCAGCACCTCGTACAGCTGTCCCTGGGCACAGTACTCCATAATGATGCAGTAACAAGGAGCCTGGGTACAGATCCCTCTGAGASGGTAGAAAATAAATAAACAAATAAACAATAAAGAGATAGCAAAAGAAAGTAATAGGTTAAAGTCTGAGTTTARTCAGTTGTTCTTTCTAAAACTGATTGTCAATTTCAGTCATATTCGCAGGCTTCAGTGATTATGTCCACTCACTTGAAAGTGATAATGTTGGGGTGTTTGAGCTTCCGGAGGTGCTTGATGTCGGTCTCTTTGATGTTTCGCACTTTCTTCACGGCCACTTCCTGTCCGTGCAGTCTGCCGAGGAAGACAGCACCCTGGGCTCCGCTGCCCACCCACTGCAGGTCCGATATCTCCTCAAATGGGACCTCCCACTCCTCTGGAAAGTGGGGAGGAAAAAAAAGGCCTTGGTGAGTTTCACTGTGTGGCAGCCTTTAAGCGATGATTGATAACCAATCAATTTAATCTGAAAGATGAAACCACAGAGCAAAGTGCAGCCTGACATTTTAAGATGTAAAGTAAAATGTTTTCAAATGAAACAGTTTAGATCTGCAAGTTTGATTTTAAATTTCACATTTTGTGATATTTTTTTGGTGGGGCCGGTTGGGGTGGTCCACTCAATGGTTGAGACATGAAAATCTATTTTACTGAATGAGTTATCAATTTTAGAATGACGTGTGGATCTCCAGAGGGTGAAAACTAATTAGTTTGATTCCCTGACATCTCCTTTAGCAATGTCAAGATGTTGACAGTTGTATAGCAGCAACATTTCAACAACATGGCAGCTGTCATGGATTACTGATACATATTTGACAGACACTCGTGGCCCTGGGGTGAAAAATTTCTGCTGACTTTGTCTASTCTTGTCATGGCAAAATTTGATTTAGCACCAAATATCAATAAAACTAATTAYATTTCAATCAACTTTTCTTTTTTCGTGTGCTGTGCAGATTGACAGGAGTCACTATATTAAAAAGATTATTGCAAATTAGCATTATGCTAACAGATTTAGCTCAAATATCCACATAACAGAAGTAAAGTACCTGAGCTGCTAACAAGGCAAACAAATTACCTAAACATAAAAACAAAAAAAAAGTTACATCATGAAACTACAGATCTAGTTTCAGTGCAGTTAGTGCCATAAAATCAAATGCCAAAATCATATTCTCTGGTCAGTATCAGGATTATTATTATTACACACAGCCAAAGGTGAAAAATAATAATGTTTTTGCCAGCRTCTGTTCACATCTGTGTGTTCATTTGTCTCTAGCATGAACCAGTGGAGAGACTAATAAAAAAATCAAAAAAAGTACTCATGTGGCCACAGCTAAGCAACCTCAGCAAACAAAAATGGCCATAGCTCAGTCAATTTACAAATGCTGAGATAAAATTCCATTTAGTAGTAGCTGAGTCATCCCTGACAGGCTATCTGAGCTGTAACCATCTGGCAAGTTTCCACAACATCACATTTGATGTTTACAAAGTGTGACTGAAGTGGTTATAACTCTGTCCCTTTTCAACATATAATAACTTCAGTTTAAAACTCTGGCAAGAAAGGTGGCGGGCCATGTGCATTTCTTAAAAAAGCTGAGAGCAAGAATGATTGGGCCTCATGCAAAAACCGTTCGTACACAGATTTGTTCTTAAGTTGTGCGTATGAGTGATTTAGGAGAATTTGTGGCATTCACCATTGCTTTCGTATTCTAAGATTTTTTCAGATACAAACAAAATTCACGTGTGGTCCAGACCTGTCGTATATTTTACGAGCAGTCAGTCTGCTGTTATCCAGATGGATTTTTCTCACTAATAAATTTATATTTCATTAGTTTGAAGATATTTTGAGTTGAAATAAATCATACTCTAGAATTATGTTGACAAT